CCCCAAAACCCCAAAACCCCAAAACCCCGTGAAGTGAAATTCGAGTGCAATTTTTAAAAATAGAAATAAAGTATTTCAAGTATATAATTATAGCAGATATTTATAGGATTACTTAGTCTTAATATTTCAATCGATAGTCAGTTAGCAACTACAGCCGGAACATATAGAGTGTTTTTTGTTTACAATAAATTCTACTGCTCTTCTTGGATTTCAATCATTGATTTATCTATATCTGCAATTCTTTCTTTGGTAAGTATATCCTTCTGAGGATAGTTACACGAATAGTCATAGTAATATCCGTCAAACAAAGACTAGATTCTTGGTTTTTCAATCAATAATAGACTCTCCTTATATTTCTCTTCATTTTCATCTCGAAACGCCTCAGATACAACTTTCTAACTAAAATTATCCTCATTAGGAGGGATAAATGGCGATGGTGTGGTGGCTGAATTTAAGTTTGTCCAGTCGAAATCCTTCAACCAAGGTTGCCTCTTGACTTCATTGATTCCATAATATCCAAGTCTTTTGTAACACTTCCTCTAGATTAATTTATTAATAAAATCAGCAGCTTCCAAACTCCACCCTTGAGGAATATCTACCTCTTTTATCTAAACTTGCCTTTGCAAGATTTAATCCCTAATTTCTTATCTCGACTTTCCTGAATATGGTCTTCGGCCCATCATGCATTCATAGGCAATAACTCCAAGTGCGTAATAGTCTACAGCAAAGGTATGGTTTTATTTACATAATACTTCAGGAGCCATGTAACTCGGAGTACCACTTGTTTCTCTGGAATTATCTTTCTTGTAATACCTAGCTATGCCAAAGTCAGTGACTCTCAGGTAGCCATTACTATCTATGACTATGTTTTCGGGCTTAATATCTCGGTGAATGATACTCTTTTTGTGTATATAGTCGAACGCTGAAAGCAAACAGCAGACAAAAAATTTAGTTTAATCCTCCGAAAACCTTCTTCTTTTATTTATATGATACCTAAGATCACCACCTGTAAGTAAGTCCATGCACAGATAAAGATTTTCTCGATCCTAATAGGCGTAGTACATGTTCACCAAAAACTGATTCTTGAGCTCTGACAGGATGATTCTCTCATTAAGAACCGAGTCTACACTTCTCTTCGAGATGATTCTAGCCTTTGCCATTTCCTTCATCGCATAGTATGTATTGTTCTTCTTCATAATCACTTTCCAGACTTTGCCGAAGCCGCCCTTACCAATACAGTATAAGAAGGTGAAATGATTCTTGGATATGACTACTTGCTTTTGCTAGTCATTAATGTTGTCAGTCTTGAATTGACAATTACCCATCAATATAATATCAACAATAAATTAATAATCTTTATATACTAATATAAAAGTTAAGTTATTTTATCTTCATTTAAATTTCCGACTTAAGAAAACTAACTCTTAGAAATTGAATACAAATTATTAAAAATGTCTACGAAACTCAGAGAAAATATACAAAACAGAAAACTGGTTGCTCAGTAATAGTAAAATGCTGGCAAGAAAGATGTAAGTCTAGTCATGGATTATACTTAATCAGGGCAAAGATGATGATAAAAATATGCAAATGAAATCAGGGGCGAGCAAAGGAGGTGTATCAGGCAATCCAATCGCTGAGTTATTTGAAGATCAGCTTTATACCGATCTATTCAATGCTAGGTGTCATGATACTGGAGAAACAGCCAATCGTAAATATTTCTGTTTCATATGCTTATAGTTGAAAACGCTAAGCTCTTCAAGGAGGATTTACTCAGAAGAAATGTTAAAAACTCTAATGCTTTGAACCTTTAATCACTAAGACTAGGAATCAATTCAATCATCGCACTTTCTAACGCTCTTTAAAACAGAAAAGTAAGAATATTGCAAGTATAATACTTAACTGTCTATAGTATGAGAAATTGAACTTAGCTGATAATGCTATCAGTGATTATGGTATGCATGCTATCAAGAATATAATTAACAACAGTGGAGTCAAATCACTAAACTTGGCATCAAACATGATAAGTGGTGAAGGTTTGGAGCTGTTCTTAGATGATTTAATTGCTAATACCAACTTAAAGCACTTAGACATAGGAGTAGTCGAGGGATCAATGAGAAAAAATTCACTAGGTATACAAGGTGCTGTTTGTATCTCTGCCATGCTAATTAGGAATAAAGTTATTGAATCACTTTCAATTAACGACAATGATTTGGGTCCTGATGGTGGTGAGTGTATAGGTATTGCATTGAGTTAAAATGAAACTTTGAAGGTCTTAAAAGTGTCTGAAAATGATCTTAAATCTGAGGGTGCAATTCCTATTATCAAGAGTGCGACTAATCTTGAGCATCTTAGTTTGGCTAAAAATTTTATGAAAAGCGATGTGGGAAAACCCCTAGCTAAGTTACTTAAAGCCTCCAAGCAATTAAAAAAGCTCTACCTTGAATTTAACGAATTGATGGTCTAAGGTGCTAAGTGGATTGCAAAAGGTATATAGCAAAATAAAACACTTGAGATTCTGAATATCAAAGGAAATATCATTGGGGATGATGGCTTGATTCTCATTGCCTAGAGTCTTAGAGATGCAGTTAATCTTAAAGAACTAGATATTTCTCTTAATGAAATTGGACCAACAGGATTTTAATCCCTTTGCGACATTTTGCCTTATTCTAACATTTAGACATTAATTTGCAACAAGAACTTCTTAGGTGATGAAGTCCTTGCCTATTTTGCGAATATGATCTCGGATCCTTCAAATCCCACAAAGCTCAAGAAGTTTGACTTCTCTTCTTGCAGATTGAATGATACTGCCTTGATATATCTTATTAATGCTCTCCAAAACAACAAAAATATTTCCCATGTAAAACTATCAGACAACTTCTTTTCTGAAAATGTAGAGGCTATCTTACTTGAAACTCTGAATAAAAATACATCACTCATTGATATTGCATTAAATGGAAATAGATTCTCACACAGTTGCTTAACAAAGATTAAGAAAATAACCCAGAGAAATATGAAGATGATAGAGGAACAGGAACCAAACAAGCTAAAAGCTGAAATATACAGACTCAGATATGAACATTAGAAACTGGAGCAAGCAAAGAGTCTTCTTAAATCACAAAAGGAAGAAATAGAAAAGGTCAGAGGCTATAGAGAAGAGTTGGTTGAGTAAATGCAAGCCTATAAGCAAAGTGAGGAGACTAAGAGAGAGAATCTAAATAAATACATACAAGAACAGAGGAAACTCATTTAGGAAAAAGAATAACTTATTAAGGCAAAGAATGACAAGATCCAAAAGATGGAGGAGGAATATGATGACAAGTTGAAGGAGTTGAGACAATAGTATTAGTCTGAGCTAGACAGAAAGAAGGAACTTGATAAGGAGCTTGCAGGTGTGAAATAGGAGTTGGAGGATATTGAATAATCTTTCCCTAAAGAGATCAAAAGTCTTAAGGAATAAATTTCAAATGCTAAGAAAAAGACTGAGGAATATGAGGAGAAGACTAAGTAGCTGGCAGATGAGTTAAGAAAGTTAAAAGCTAATGCCCCTAAAAAGACATGAAAAGATTAGAATTGTGTATAATTGTCTTTAATGTCAATTATATTGCAGATATTAATGTGAGCAATTAGACTAGTTAACGTTAAGCACTATTTTAGTTATCTCTTCTTTAATATCTAGTTTGTTATATGTAAACATTAATTTTGATAAAACTTGAAGATAGTTGAATTCTATTATTTAGGGGTTTTGGGGTTTTGGGGTTTTGGGGTTTTGGGG